TTTTTTTGCTTTTTTTATGAATTTTCAAAATATTTTTCTTTATTTTTACTTTAAATATTTTTTTTTATTTTTTCTAGAGTTATTTTTTAGCTCCTATTAAAATAATATTTATTTTAATTTTTTGCTTTTTTATAAATTTTCAAAATATTTTTTTTATTTTTATGTATTTTTCAAATATTTGGAATTTTTCAAAATATTTTTTTTTTTATTTTTACTTTAAATATTTTTTTAGCTCCTATAATAATATTTATTTTTTATGTGTTTGTTTTCTCTTTCGAGACGAGCTTAATGATCTGAAATTTGCAGTGAAAAGGAAAGCCAGATAGACACTATCACACACTCACCACTATGCGACGCGTTTCGCCGTTGGTTAAGCGGCTCATCAGGCATATTTGGTGTGGATGATGGCTTACAAGGGTCGTTCTCTTGAAAGTAGTATATATTTCGAACTTATTGCAACTTAGCATATGCGAATTATACACTAGAAACTCTCCAGGTTCGACTCAAGTTCTATTGGCAGATCTTTTTCACAGCAAAGTTTTTGTTTTTGTAGTGATGGATTTTTTGTCCACAACAACTACATTGCTTCCAATGCATACACTTGTTTTAGTGCTGCTTTAGGAAGACAGGTTAATGGCTCTGAACGTAGAGACGGCAACTTCTAGTTGGCTGCACACCAAGGTCCGCGGTTCAAATCTCACAGCCAGGCTCGGCTGAATTTTTGAGTTTTGCCTTATTAAGCCTTATTATTTTTATTTTTGCTTTTTATAAATTTTCAAAATATTTTTCTTAATTTTTACTTTAAATATTTTTTTTAATTTTTTCTAGAGTTGTTTTTTAGCTCCTATTAAAATAATATTTATTTTAATTTTTTGCTTTTTTATAAATTTTCAAAATATTTTTTTTATGTATTTTTCAAATATTTGGAATTTTTCAAAATATTTTTTTTTTTTATTTTTACTTTAAATATTTTTTTAGCTCCTATTAAAATAATATTTATTTTTATTTTTTGCTTTTTTATAAACTTTCAAAATATTTTTTTTTTTTTAATTTTTTACAAGTATTTTCCAAATATTCAGAATTTTTAAAATTATTATTTTACATTGTGCAAGTTCCTTCCAACTGGAATTTAGCTCCTATAATAATAATATTTTACATTTTGTTGTTGCAAAATGGTCAGGCTTTATCCCTTTATTGTTGTTTTTATAAAACAACGTTTGTTTATTAGTGGACATTTTTACTTTTTTGTTTTTTTTTATATAAATTTTCAAAATATTTTTCTATTTTTATTTAAATATTTTTTTTAATTTTTTTCTAGAATTATTTTTTTAGCTCCTATAATAATAATATTTATTTTTATTTTTTGGTTTTTTATAAATTTTCTTTTTTTTTAATTTTTTTTAAAGTATTTTTCAAATATTCGGTATTTTTAAAATTATTTTTTTACATTGTGCAAATTCCTTCCAACTCGAATTTAGCTCCCATAATAATATTTTTTTACATTTTTATTTTTTTGTTTTTTTTTTTTTTTATAAATTTTCAAAATATTTTTATTTATTTTTATTTAAATATTTTTTTTTTTTAATTTCTTTCTAGAGTTATTTTTTTAAATTAGATCTAGATTATCTCTCTTAAAATAACTAGGATAAAAAGAACTTAAAAAAAAACTTATTGAATTTTAAGAGAATTACTTTCAATACGGAACCTTTATCGAAAAAATATTAATAGTTTATATATATTTTCCCATAGTTTTCAAGTCAAATCTTAGGCTATAACTTCCGATATATCAATGCTTCAAATTAGCTTAGCTAAGAAAAACTTCATTAAAATATAGTTAGACTTATATATAATATCTGTTAGCGATTTTTTCACATTCATTTATTTGTAAACAAATAGTTTCAAATTAATTTTCGAATATATTTACAAAAAAAAAGTAGTTACATTTTCTTAAAAAAAATATTTCCTTTAATTTTTTATGTAAATTTTTGGGATCAACATTCATCGTCATCATGTTAAAATTATCATCATTTTATTAAACATCAACCACAACAACAAAAAATATCAAAATTAAAAAAAAATAATTAAAAATAAAAAAACTATAAAAAATCGCATTCGAAATAATCACCACCTAAATAGACGTCGCCTAGAACCATTATTCGAGGAGGAAACGGAAAGTGACGAGGAAAAAACTCAGCAGGAAAGTGAAGAATTAAAAAAGGTGGGTCACCATTACAAAAATTGCATGTCAACAACAAAAACAGCAACTGCAAGAGCAACCAAAAGAAAGCAATGAATGCTTTAGAGAACATTTTCTACCATTTTTATTTTATTTTATTTATTTATTTTTTTTTTTTTTTTTTTTTGGATTTTCGTGGGCATTTTGTGTTGAAAGAAGTTGTCAGTTTTTTAATCGAAACTTCTTCACAGTGTTTTTAATATTTTTTTATAATTATAAATATATTTATCATTTTGGTATCAATTTTGAAAATTCCCCAAATACGGGAATTTTTAAAATCCCTACAATCTCACAAATTCACAAATATGTTTTGCAAAATATTTTCAATATTTTTTTTTTTTTAACTTCACAGTGCTTGGCATAATTCTTTAATTACAAATATTTATCCAAAAATACCATTTTTGGTATCAATTTTGAAATTCCCCAAAAAATGGACATTTTTTGCAATTTTTTTCAAAATATTTTTTGAAAAATATTTTCAATATTTTTATTTTTTCAAATTCACAGTGCTTTGCATAATTTTTTAATCACAAATATTTGAGATAAATTACCTTTTTGGTATCAACTTTAAAAATTCCCCAAAATTGGAATTTTCAAAATTCCCCAAATTCCAAAATTCAAATAAATATTTTTTGACAAAATATTTTCAATATTTTCTTCAAATTCACAGTGCTTTGCATTATTTTTCAATTAGAAATATTTATACAAAAATATTATTTGAAAAATTGAAAAATTCCCCAGAGACAAAAAAATTCACAATGCCAACAATATTCTCAAATATTTTTTGAAAATATTTTCAATATTTTTTTTTCAAACTCACAGTGCTTTGTATATTTTTTTATAACTATAAATATATTTATTTAAAAATGCCATTTTTGGTATCGATTTTAAAAATTCCCCAGAAACGGGAATTTTCAAAATCACCACAATCTCAATTTTCTCAAAATATTTTCAATATTTTTTTTTCAAATTTACAGTGCAATTTACAGTGCCTTTTATGCCCTCCACCTCGAAATATACATTTTAGACCCCACAAAGTTTACAGATCCTTGAGCAGCATAAAGTTCTATGTCGATTTAGAGATGTCTGTCTGTCCGTCTGTGGAAATAACTCTAGTTTCCGAACGAAATGAAGTAGATTGATAAAATTTAACTGAAATGTATATTATGTCTGCAGGACCTTTGGTATAACGATACCTCCCGATATTCAGTATTTTGATGATTTTAGCGACATTATTCACCGGAATTGTTTCAAATTTGGTATTTGAAGTTCATAATGGTTACTGCAGCCTATGACAGAAAGTTGTATGTGCAGTTCCACGCCTTCGTATGGACCCTAATATGGCGGCTACATTTGGTATTTTTAAGATTTTAACAGAATTTTTAACGGGTTTTTTTGAAAATTTCAAAATTTGTTCCAAATGGTGGAGGGTATTCAAAATTCGGCACGGCCGAACTTACAGTTTTTTTCACTTGTTTTTATAATCAAAAGAAATATATTTACCTGAAAATTCGACTTTTGGTATCAATTTTCAAAATTCCCCAAATTGGGAATTTTCAAAATATTTTCAATATATTTTTTAATATTTATTTTCAAATTCACAGTTCTTTGTATAATTTTTCAATTACACAATATTTGTCCCAAAATGCCATTTGTTATGTTAATTTTTCAAAATTCCCCAAAAGTGGGAATTTTTAAAATCCCCAAAGTCGGAATATTCAGAAAATATTTTTTGCGAAATATTTTTTAATATTTTATTTCAAACTCACAGTGCTATGTATTTTTTTTATAATTAAAAATATATTTACCTCAAAATACAAATTTTGGTATGAATTTAAAAAATTCCCCAGAAACGCTAATTTTCAAAATTCCCACAATGCCAATATTCACTAATATTTTTTTAAAAATAATTTCAATATTTTTTTTTTTTTTTGCAAATTCACAGTGCTTTGTATAATTTTTTATAAATATAAATATATTTATTTAAAAATGCCGTTTCTGGTATTAATTTTAATAATTCCCCAAAAGCGGAAATTTTTCAAATCTCAATTTTTTCAAAATATTTTTGCAAAATATTTTTAATATTTTTGCAAAATATATTCAATATTTTTTTTAATTCACTGTACGAAGCACTATATTTTTTATAACTATAAATATTTTTATTTTATTTTTTTTTAATGTGATTTTATCAATTTTAAAAATTCAAATTTAAAAAATCAATTTTTAAAATCCCCACTGTCGGAATATTCACATTTATTTTTTGCAAAATATTTTCAATATTTTTTTTTCAAATTCACAATGCTTTGCATAATTTTCCAATTTCAAATATTTATCGCAAAATGCCATTTGTTGTGTTAATTTTAAAAAATTCCCCATAAGCGGGAATTTTTAAAATCCCCACAGTCGGAATATTCAGAGATTTTTTTTTTTTTTTTTGAAAATATTTTCAATACTTTTTTTTTTCAAATTCACAGTGCTATGTATATTTGTTTTATAATTACAAATATATTTAAATCAAAATACAAAGTTTTGTATCAATTTTAAAAAATCCCCAGAGACGGGAATTTTAAAAATCCTTACAATGCCTTTATTCAAATAAATATTTTTTTTAAATGCACAGTGCTTTGCATAATTTTCCAATTACAAATATTTATCCCAACATGTCATTTGTTGTGTTAATTCTAAAAATTCCCTAAAAGTGGGAATTTTCAAAATCCCCAAAATCGGAATATTCAGAAAATATTTTTTGAAAAATATTTTCAATATTTTTTTTTTCAACTTCACAGTGCTTAGCATATTTCTTTAATTACAAATAATTATCCAAAAATACCATTTTTGGTATCAATTTGAAATTTCCCAAAAATAAGCATTTTTAAAATACCCATAATGCAAATTTTTTCAAAATATTTTTGATAAAAAATTTTTAATATTTTTTTTCACATTAACAGTGCTTTGCATAATTGTTTAATCACAAATATTTGAGATAAATTGCCTTTTTGGCATCAATTTAAAAAATTCCCCAAAATTGGAATTCTCAAAATTCCCCAAATTTTAATCTTCAAAAGCGGGAATTTTTAAAATCCCCACAATGCCTTTATTCAAATAAATATATATATATATATATATATTTTTTTTTTTGCAAAATATTTTCAATATATTTTCAATATTTTTTTTTCAAAATCACAGTGCTATGTATACCTCAAAATACAATTTTTGGAAACAATTTAAAGAAATCCCCAAAAATTGGAATTTTTAAAATCCCCACAATGCCTCAAATAAATATTTTTTTTCAAAATATATTCAATATTTGTTTTTAAATATTTTCAATATTTTTTATCAAAATCACAGTGCTATGTATACCTCAAAATAAAATTTTTGATATCAATTTTAAAAATTCCCCCAAAAATGGGAATTTTTCAATACTTTTTTTTTCAAAATATTTTTCAATATTTGTTGTTTCTTTTTTTTTTTCAAATTCACAGTGCTATTTATACCTCAAAATAAAATTTTTGATATCAATTTTAAAAATTCCCCCAAAAATGGGAATTTTTAAAATCCCCACAATGCCTTTATTCAAATAAATATTTTTTTCAAAATATTTTTCAATATTTTTTTTTTCAAAATGTTTTCAATATTTTTTTTTTTTTCAAAATCACAGTGCTATATATACCTCAAAATAAAATTTTTGATATCAATTTTAAAAATTCCCCCAAAAATGGGAATTTTTAAAATCCCCACAATGCCTTTATTCAAATAAATATTTATTTTTTTCAAAATATTTTTTTCAAATATATTTCAGAAAGGAAATTGGAATTTTAAAAATGTTTTCAATATTTTCAATATATTTTCAATATTTTTTTTTCAATTTCACAGTGCTTTTCATAATTTTCCAATTACAAATATTTATCCAAAAATGCCATTTGTTGTGTTTGTTTTTAAAAATTCCCCTAAAGCGGGAATTTTTTAAAATCCCCACAGTCGGAATATTCAGAAAATATTTTCAATATATATTTTTTTTAAATTCACAGTGCTATGTATATTTTTTTATAATCAAAAATATATTTACCTGAAAATTCCCAAAAGCGGGAATTTTTAAAATCCCGACAGTCGGAAGATTCAGATTTTTTTTTTTTTTTTTTTTTTGAAAATATTTTCAATATTTTTTTTTAAATTCACAGCGCTATATAAATTTTTTATAATTACAAATATATTTACCTCAAAATACAATTTTTGTATCAATTTTAAAAATTCCCCAAAAATGGAGATTTTTGAAAAATTCCCCAAAAATGGGGATTTTTGAAAAAACCCCAAAAATGGCGATTTTTAAAATTCCCGCAATGCCTTTATTTAAATAAATATTTTTTTTTTCAAAATATTTTTCAATATTTTTTTTTCAAACTTATTTGCACTCATCCTTTGATTTCTCATCTGTTTTTTTTTTTTTTTTCTCTCTCTTTTTGTTCTTGTCTTTGTGTTGTTTCTTTTCTTTACTTTCATGCAATGCCATCTTCATCATCATCACATCATCACCAACAAATTTTGGTCATGTCATCCCAAAAAAAAAATAATTTTGAAAAACACCACCCCATCTCTCAAACGTTTTTTGCTGCCTCTAAATCTATGTGTCTATTTTTCGTTCGTTCGTTCTTGTAATTTTGTGTACCTGTGTGTGTGTTATTTTTCAATATTTTTTTAATCTGCTTGTTCGATATATATGTGTTCTAAATGTTTTTCATCAATTCATCCATCCATCGATTTTTAGAAAGTCGTAGTGAAATTAGTGAAACTATAGCAAAACGTTCAATACTGCAAAGTAATCCATATCAGAAGCAACTGATAGCGCCATCTATGAAAAAATTTTAGAATCAACAAAAAAATATCAAACAGTCCCAATCTTTCAAAGCAAAGCTTAACAAAAACACACACACTCACCCAAAATTCTGGGACATACTCTAGAAGCAGTGTTGCCATTGGGGATTTTGTTGTTACTGAAAATCCCCAAAAATTTCCCCGAAAAAAATCCCTTCAGAAAATAATGGCAACAAAATATCCCAAAGTTTTCCAAAATTTCAATCTGGGCCGAAAAATTTTAAAGATTTTTCTAAAATCCCATTTGGAATCCAAAACGGCAACACTGCTCCTTAAAAAAACCAGCCTTGCCATTACCACCCACTCTCTATCCCTGAAAATTCGGTCATAAAAAATCGCTTGCTTTAAACCAGAATTGATTAGTTGAATTCTATTTCAAAAAAATTGGTAGGGGGAAACAACGACAAATGGCCACTATTTAGAGGATTCGGAAGCTGGAAGTTCCAGCGAGGAGGAGCAGGAGGAGGAGGACGGGGAGGAGGAGATGGAGATGGAGGATCATGTGAATACAGCGGACTACGAGGAGGAGGAGGACGGGGATCTGACCTCAACGGAGGAACGTTGTCAACCTCAGCTGCAAACAACCATTTTGGGTCCGCGACCCTTGACCAAGCCGGTGGCTGGAGCAAACGTTTTGCCTCCAGCAGTGCTGAAGGCCTCATCCTGCGAGTACCTCTTGGATCAGCGTATGACCAGCAGCGTGGCTATACCAACAGCGGCTACTATGGAGCCGATGATGGCTATAGCAGCCGACAACGTTATAGCCAAAGTCGAAGCCGCAACCTGCTGGACGAAGATGACGAATGTTATGACAACAACAATAACAACAACAACAACAGCTACAGCAATGATGACAGCGATGACAACAGTCGCAGTCACAGTCACAGCCACAATGGCAACGGGGACCTGTTCTACGATGGCCTCAACAACACCGACAACACCGAGTCCGGCAGTCTGGTCGGCATCTACAACAACCAGCAGCGGGAACGTCATTACCGAGAACGCGAACGACGCCAAAATGCCAGCGCCAACACAAGTGGAATTGGCGCCGGCGGCCCCGAAGACCGAAGCGAAAACCTTGCCACGACCAGCGAAATTTACACCACCTCCACCGCCGCCACGTCGTCTCTTATTGACTCAAACAAATCTCAAGACAAGTGGAACGGATACAAAAACAACAGCAATAACAACAACAAAAGCGGTGAGTATTTCAAAAAAAAAAAAAGGTTTCGGAATTCAAGTGAAACTCGAAACAGCGTAAGTGGCGCCCAATCGTTACCTCTGGTTTAAAGGTTGGAGATATCGACCCACTTCTTCTGGTACCTCCCCCAGAAAAAATTTTGAAAAATTACAACTCTTAAAAAATTTGAAGACCGAGTCCAATTATCTTCAAATGTTGCAAATCCCAATATTTTTGGGATATATCGGTATATCCTTGTGGTACCTCCCCGGGTCAAAGTGTAAAAATTTTGAAAAATTCTTTAAAAAATTGGAAATAACAGTTCGATTGTCCTCAAATTTCACACTTCCGATTTTTTTTGTTAACCCAAAATCTGGTGTGAAGATGGTAGATATTGGCCCAGCCCTGCTGGTACCTCCCCCACAAAAATATCGGAAAAAAAAATTACAACTCTCATAAAATTTTAAATAAGAGTCCGATTGTCCTCAAATTTCACACTTCCGAATATTTTTGTTAGAGCCCAATCTGGTCTGAAGATGGGGTATATAGGTATATCCTTGTAGTACCTCCCTCGGGTCAACGGGTCAAAATTTTGAGTAATTCTTAAAAAAATTAAATAAGTGTCCGATTGTCCTCAAATTTCACACTTCCGAATATTTTTGTTAACACAAGACCTGGTGTGGAGATGGTAGATATAGGTCCAGACCTCCTGGTACCTCCCGACATACTAAGGGTCAAAATTTCGAATAATTGTAACTCTCATAAAATTTGAAATAAGAGTCCGATTGTCTTCAAATTTCACACTTCCGAATATTTTTGTTAAAACAAGACCTGGTGTGAAGATGGTAGATATTGGCCCAGACCTACTGGTACCTCCCCCAGAAAAATTTTCGAAAAATTACAATTCTCATAAAATTTGAAATAAGTGTCCGATTGTCCTCAAATTTCACACTTCTTAATATTTTTATTAACCCAAAATCTGGTGTAAAGATGGTAGATATTGGCCCGGCCCTTCTAGTACCTCCCCCACAAAAATTTCGGAAAAATTTCAACTCTCTCAAAAATCAGTTTTTGGCGACCAAATCAAAGAAACTCCGGATTTTTAAAGCCCACAAAATTTTTCTTTTTTCTCTCTATCTCTCTCTCTTTCACCCTCTCTCCCCCCTCTCTTTCCCTTCCCTTCAGCCCCAACCTCAACGAAAATCTGGCGTTTTTGCTGACACTGGCTCTTCGGTGGGTGTCAGAGGCGTCGACGCCTGCGTCGCCAGCCATGCTACACCCACCGTGGCAAATACACCCGCACCTCAACACACTGCAACGATGACGAGCACAACGACGACGACGACCAAGACGAAGATGACGACAGCGACACCGAAAAATTCCAAGGTGGAGGATGCCTGCGTTACCAGAAACTATTCCGCAAACAACAAAAGCCGCAGCACATGCGACTCAATGAAACCTCCAACAGGCCAAGCAACGCCGCAGCAGCTGCCGGCAGCGGCGGAATCACAACAACGACTATCATCAACAATAATCGAGACCTCACTGCTCAGTTTAATGGACAACAGCAGCACCAGCAGCAGCAAAACCAATCGGCCACACTGCACATCATCAACAACAGCTTCGAAGATGAGGGCGAAATGTCCCATGAAACCCGAACGCAAACCGGTGACGACCACAACAACAACAACAGCCGCCACGACGACAACGACAATGACATCACGAGATTTGGACCAGGAACTGCAAATGGAGATGCAACGCTCACCGGACGGACACGCAAAAGATTCCACATCGACCTGTGCACAGCCCGCAGCAGTTGGTTCGGCCTTAAGTCCTCGCCTAGAGATGCGTTTGGCCCTCAATCAGGATATAATGGGGGACGAAGATTTGATAAGCTACGATCCTGGGCCAGATCTAACAACTATTCTGGTGTAAGTGGAGTGAACTGAACAATTCGGAATTGGAAATCATTTCTGGTGTTTTTTTTTTTCAGGCACGACCTCTCAACATTTCATCGTCTGACGGGCAGAGATTTATTGAATCGCTCGGCCATGAATCGGGTTCAACCAAAAGAGGCTGTCATATCGTACTCTCAACAGCGAAACTCGAAGATGGATACGCCCACAGTGAATCGCAGGCCACGACCTCATCTCAACAGCAACAACAACAACGGCAGTGCAATCACCCCCACCACCGGCATTCCCATGCCTCCCACGACGACCACAACAATTCCGGCGGCCTCGTCAATGCCCTTCGCTGGTTCGGTACGTGTCGCCGACGTTCAACAACACCTGCAGCCAAATCGAAATACATGGAGCAATTTTGCATTTGCGGATCGAAACAGAGACGTGAACGCCAGCGACGCAAACAGCAAAGACGACAACAAGCTAAGCGATCTCGAAATCTTAGCGAGACGCGAGAAGATATACTGCATGTCTCAATTGAGGAGTGGCTCACGAGTCAGGACGACGACGACGATGACGATGACGTCGACGCGCATAATGGCCAGCACAACAACAATAACAGCGACCGGCAGCAGTTCATTGAACAATCCTCTGACGAGGACGACGAGTACTACTTCGATGGCCGGTGCGAGTGAGGAGCTGGGCAGTGGCAGTGGTAGCACGGCGAAAAAGAGCCATAGTCGCCAGCGTAAAATAAGTCGCGATGAGACGGCTCTCATGGAAACGGGCAAGGCTAATAAGTTGTGAGTGCCATAGACTATTTTTAAAGGAGAGCATTTTTATTAAAAATTGAAAATTTCATTTCAGAATAAATTTCATAAAACGTCGCAATTCCGAAATACCCCCGAGCGCCAATAACTCACAAACCTCGCTTAATGATTCCAATTCTAGTAGCACGCCTCAGCACAAGCAGACACCGATGTCGCCACGCAAGGATAATGTAAGTAGAAGTGAGAGAGGGAGAGAGAGAGAGAGGGGGAGAGAGAGGGAGAGAGAGAGGGGGAGAGAGAAGGAGATGGGGAGAGAGAGTGAGGAAGAAGGGGCGAGAGAGAGAGGGAGGGAGAGAGAGGAAGAGTGAGGAAGAGGGGGAGAGAGAGGAAGAGGGGGAGAGAAAGGAAGAGGGGGAGAGAGAGGAAGAGTGAGGAAGAGGGGGAGAGAGAGGAAGTTTGAGGAAGAGGGGGCGAGAGTGTGGAAGAGAAGAAGAGGGGGAGAGTGAAGAAGAGGGGGAGAGAGAGGAAGAGTGAGGAAGAGGGGGCCAGAGTGAGGAAGAGGGGGCGAGAGAGGGAGTGTGAAGAAGAGGGGGAGAGAGAGGAAGTGAAGATCATTCATATGAAAAGTGGCGCCCAACGTAAGAGCGGCAATTTAAATAAAATATTAGAAAATAGGCTTCAAATGATAGGGAAATGAAAAGATGGGTGGAAAATTTTCTGGAGTGGGAAAAATTGTAAGGTTGGCGCCCAACGTGGGTTTGAAAATTAAAAAAAAAAACCTAAGAACTTAGTCCCATTGCCTTAAATTTTTTTTTCCCACGAATTCAAAAAAAAGAAAGCATTACATTGAATTGTGGCGCCCAACGTAAGAACGGCCATTTAAACAAAATATTAGAAAATAGACGCCAATGATAGGAAGATGAAAAGATGGGTGGAAAAATTTTTGGATTGGAAAAAACGTGAGTTTGAAAATTAAAAAAAAAAAACTAAGAACTTAGTCCCATTGCCTTATTTTTTTTTATTTTTTTGCACGAATTCAAAAAAAAGTAAACATGAAATTGATGAAATTGTGGCGCCCAACGTAAGAATGGCTGTTTAAACAAAATATTAGAAAATAGACGCCAATAATAGGAAGATGAAAAGATGGGTGGAAAAATTTTTGGAGTGGAAATAATGTAAGGTTGGCGCCCAACGTGGGTTTGAAAATTAAAAAAACCTAAGGACTTAGTCCCATTGCCTTCAAAAAATTTTTTGCACGAATTTAAAAAAAAAAGCATCAATTTTAATTGTGGCGCCCAACGTAATAACGGCTATTTAGACAAAATATTTAAAGATAGGCTTTAAGGATAGGGGAAAAAATCTATAAAAGATAGATATTTAATATAAATGGCGTCCAACGTGGGCTCCGATATTTAAAAAATTCATATGAACCTGGCATAAAAGTGTCGATCAATAGAATGAATTTAAGAAAAATGTTAGGGCAAAATGAAAAAAAAAATATAAGTGGCGCCCAACTTGGGTTCCGATATTTAAAAAATGCATATGAACCTGGCATAAAAAAATAAAATGAATTAAAAACAAGTAAAAAAAACATTAAGTTCGGCCGGGCCAAACTTTTAATACCCTCCACCTTAGGGTAAAAGAAACATTAGAAGAAATGTGGCAAAAACCATTAAAATGCCGATTATGGGGAGGTACCGTTATATGGGGGCTATACCAAAACGTGGACCTATAATTACAATGTTTCGCCACCGGAGCTGGAACCCATTATGACCCACAAATACCAATTTTAAGACAAATCAGTGAAAAAATGTGGCAAAAACCATCAAAATACCGAATATCGGGAGGTACCGTTATATGGGGGCTATATCAAATCATGGACCCATGCATGCAATGTTTCGCCACCGAAGCTGGAACCAATTATGACCAACAAATACCAATTTTCGAACAAATCCCTGAAAAAATGTGGCAAAAATCATCAAATTACCGAATATCGGGAGGTACCGTTATATGGGGACTATACCAGAACGTGGACCGATATATCTCATTTTCAATACCAACCATCCTAGACACAATGCAAATAGCTCTGCTAAATTTTGGAGCTCTACGTCAAATAATGTGGGCTGTATCGTGATTTCAACAGACAGACAGACAGACAGACGGACATCGTTAAATCGACTTAGAATTTTATGCTGATTATGAATATATATACTTTGTGGGGTCTAAAACGAATATTTAGGGATGTTACAAACGGAATGACAAAGTTAATATACCCTCCTTTCCAAGGTGGAGGGTATAAAAATGTTGGCGGAAAATGAAAAAAACTTCAAGTTGAAGAGAACATTAGAAAATTTAAAAAAAAAATCGGGAAAAATGGAAAATTGAAATATTCAAACTGGCGCCCAAAGCAGAGGAATTAGATCGAAATTCTCACATAATAATGTTGGCCAAGGGTTCACTATCATCCTGGAAGGGGTGACATATTCAAACTTATTAATATACATATTCTGTTGAAATCACTCTAGCTTCCGAACGAATTGAAGTAGATTAATAAAACTTTACTCAAATGTATATTATGTCTGCAGGACTTTTGGTATTTAAAACGGGCTATATAGGTCCACGTCTTCGTATAGCCCCCCTATAACGGACCCCCCCCCCCCACCGATATTCGGTATTTTAATGATATTAGCGACATTATTCACCGGAATTGTTTCAAATTTAGTATATGAAGTTCGTAATAGATACTACAGCATAAAACAGAAAATGGGCCTTGTAGGTGCACGGCTTCGTATAGCCCCCACATAACGGTTCCCCCGTATATTCGGTATTTTGATGATTTTAGTGTCATTATTCAACGGAATTGTTTCAAATTTGGTATTTGGAGTTCGTAATGGATACTACAGCCTATGAGAGAAAATTATCTGTGCAGGTCCACGTCTTCATATAGCCCCCATATAATGGTACCCCCCGATATTCGGTATTTTAATGATTTTAGCGACATTATTTACCGGAATTGTTTCAAATTTGGTATTTGAAGTTCGTAATGCATACTACATAATGGGACAGAAAATGGGCCATGTAGGTCCACGTCTTCGTATGGCCCCCATATAATGGTACCCCCCGATATTCGATATATTTATGATTTTAGCCACATTATTCACCCGAATTGTTTTAAATTTGGTATTTGATGTTTGTAATAGATACTACAGCCTAAGACAGAAAATTGTCTTTGGAGGTCTAGGTCTTCATATAGCCCCCATATAACGATACCTCCCGATATTCGGTATTTTGTTGATTTTAGCGACATTATTTACCGGAATTGTTTCAAAATTGGTATTTGAAGTTCGTAATGGATACTACAGTCTGTGACAGAACATTATCTGTGCAGGCTTATGACAAAAGTTGCGTATGCAGCTCCACGTCGTCGTATAGACCCGGCTACATTCGGTATTTTTAGGATTTTAACAGAATTTTTATGGGATTTTAATTATTTTGAAAATTGCCAAATTTGTACCAAATGATGGAGGGTATTCAAAGTTCGGCCCGGCCGAATTTACAGCTTTTTTACTTGTTTTTTTATTTATTATTATTTTATTTATTTATTTATTTTTTTTTTTTTGTAAATAATTCAAATTTGATTAATATTATTTGTATTTTGGTTTCGAACACACATTGGGCGCCATTTTTATTAAAATGTATAATTTTTTAAGTTCCGAGAATTATTTGGATTTTAATATATCATTAGAGCTTATAAATGTGGAAATGTTGTTCCTTCATTCTTAAATAAATCGAAAACGAGAAGAAAGTGACATTGGCGCCCAACGTGATTTCAAAAATATGGCCTACTTCTTATTTTAATTAATGACGTTTTTTGTTGGAATTTTTTAATATATCACAGAGCCCGTAAATGTGGAAATGTTTACCCTTCATTATTAATTGAAATCGAGAACGAGAAAAAAAGTGAAAATGGCGCCCAACGTGCTTTAAAAAATATGACCTACTATTTTTTCCATTTTTTTTTAATTATTGAAGTTTTTATCGGAATAGTTCAAATTTTATTTGTATTTTTTTTAAATTTATTTCGAACACACCTTGGGCGCCATTTTCATTTAAATGCATATTTTTTTTTTTTTTTTTTTTTTTGAGTGATTTATTTGATTTTAATGTCATTACAGTGCTAAAATATGGAGAAGGGAACCCTTCCTTATTGAATAAAATCGAGAATGAGAAAAAAATTGATAATGGCGCCCAACGTGATTTCAAAAATACGACCTACATTTTTTTAATTAATGTAGTTTTTTTTGTTGTAAGTTTTTTTAATATATCATAGAGCCCGTAAATGTGGAGATGTTGACCCTTCATTATCAATTGAAATCGAGAACGAGAAAAAAATGATAATGGCGCCCAACGTGCTTTCAAAAATATGACCTACTATTTTTCCATTTTTTTTAATTATTGAAGTTTTTATCGGAATAGTTCAAATTTTACTTGTAATTTTTTAAATTTATTTCGAACACACCTTGGGCGCCATTTTAATTCAAATGCATATATATATATATATATATATATATATATATATATATATATATATATATATATATATATATATATATTTTTTTTTTTTTTTTTTTTTTTTTTTTTGAATTTTGAGTTTCAAGTAATTTTTAGATTTTAATATTATTAGAGTCCTAACATATGAAGAAGAGAACCCTTCATTATTAATTAAAATCGAGAACATGAAAAAAGTAAAAAATGGCGCCCAACGTAATTTTCAATAGAATTTAATTTTAATTTGTTTTTCTATGTTTTTTTTTCCAGGACAAACCGTCACTGAACCGCCGCCTCTGGAAGCAAATTACAAAACGACGACGTTCTAATTCTGTTTCCGAACTAGTGGCATCTTAAGTCAAGTCTGGCAGCACCTTGACCACTTTTGTTCTGCACCCAGCAATGCAAAAAAAAACAACCTTTGTGATGTAAATCCCGGCCATGTTTTTTTTTTCTAATTTAAAAAAAGAAAAAAAAAACAGCAAATCTGATTCCAATGCCTAGTTGAACTAAGTAAATGCGAATTATTTTCCCCCAGATGTTGTAGTGTTAAGTAGAGTGAAGATGAAGAAGAAAAAAAATTGTAGTTTTTTTCAATTGTAAAATGAACTGATTTACTATTAGATTAGGGCTTTGAATGTAAAGAAAAATTGAAAAGAAAAAACAAAAACATACACCAATTTTTTTAAGTGAAGAAACCAAAAAAGAGAAGCCGAAAATAATCATGGTCAATTATGTTGCTTAAGAGGAGGAGGAGAGGAAAAATAAAAAATATAAAAAAATAATTTAAAAATATTTCGTTCCGAAAACAAAATATGTAAATAATATGGCAACTCTGGGTTACAGAGCCCAGCCGAATTGTTGAACAGACCAAGGGACCCAGTATTTGAAATATACAGTGCATTTTTCCCAACAATATACCTTCTCAATGAAAATCTACCTTCTAGATATAAGAAGAAAAAATATGTAGATATTTTCATCTCTGTCCGAATTGTGATTATTTTCTAACCTACAGATTACCTATTACCCTACTATTCTATACATTTTCCCGAAGTCCTCCCTTTATAGACGGAAAGATTCCAAAAAAAAATAATATATAAGCATTGATTTGCTCTTGAATGATCCACAGAAGTCTGGAATACAAACAAGGGTCTCCATAGGGCTAGACTCACATGGCAGGTGAAAATTTTCCAAAACCTGATGGTAATGTTTATCTTTGGAGGCTGTAGAACAATTTGCTATTCAGTGCCAGAGAAACAATCAAATTTGAGAACCCATCAGCTGGTTTGATAATAAAAATAGAAGTATAAAGCATAGTTTTAGGCGTTGCAAAAATATTTGCTATTCATACAGACCTTAAATAAAAATATGCTATCCGCACATGTCTTCAAACTATTACTTAAATAAAATATATAGTTTTTCTAAAAATTTCTTTAATTAAAAGATGGACGCTTCTAAATAACATATGTTAGATCCCAGGTGTTTGAATAACATCCTAAGTCGCAAGACAGCCAAAAAATTCCATAACATTTGTAAGAATGTTAATCTCAGGCTGCTGTATAGCACTTTTCTGGTGTGTCATAAAAGAATAGCCGAACTTGGGAACCCATCAGCTGTTTGGAAAACAAAAATTGTAGTGTGATGCATAGTTCTAGGCGTTGAATATAAATATTAAAAATATTTCCTTTTATAATTTTCTTAAATATGTTCCATATTTTTTTATTTATTTATTTTTTATTTATAAAATTTATTTGAATACGATGGCTAGCCAAAGGTCCATTTATTAAAAATCATGTTCTGATTTTTTTTATTTACATCATTTCCTGGAGTGGTAGGTCCCACCAAAAGTCCCCGAGAAAATAAGTTAACTTGGGAGCTGAAAATTGCCAAAATTTGGTGAGAATCTTCATCTCGGATCACTAAAGAACACTTTTCTGTTCAATGGTAAAGGAATAACCCATCTTGAGAGCCCATCAGCTGTTTGGATAAAAAAAAATGAATGACTAGTGCATAGTTTTAGGCGTTATAAAAAAATATTATTTCAAGAATTTTCTTAAATATGTCGTGCATTATTCACAAATATAGTTGAGTTGGGACCTGAAAATTTTCAAAACAATTGTGGTAATCTTCATCTGTGATTACTAAAGAATATTTTTCTGTTTAAAGATAAGGGGATAACCCAACTTGAGACCCTACCAGCTGTTTTGATATAAAAATGGATGTGCAGTGCATAATTTTAGGCGTTAGGAAAAAATATTCATTTCATAATTTTTCTTAAATATTTCGGATATTTCTACACATCTATCTATATACGAAATCTAGCCAAAGGTACGTTTATCAAATGTAATACCCTGTTTCTTATGATTCACAACATTTCCTGGAGTGGTAAGTCCATCCAAGGTGTCCGGAGGAAATAGTTCATTTTTGACCTGAAAATATTCAAAAAAAATCTTCATCTCTGAATATTAAACAATATTTTTTAGTTAAGTGATAAGGGAATGATCCAACTTGAGACCCCATCAGATCTTTTGATAAACAAAAAATTGGTTGTGTGGTGCATAGTTATTAAAATATTAATTTCATAACTTTCTCAAATATGTCGTATATTTTCTACACATCCATTTATATCCAAAGGCCAGTTTATCAAAAGTTATACCCAGGTTTTAATGGTTCACAATATTTCCTGAGGTGTCAGGTCCAATCAAAGATTTCAGAGGACCTAATTTCACGTGGGAACTGAAAAATTTCAACAAAAATTGTGCTAATCTTCATCTTTGATTATTAAAGAATGTTTTTTTGTTGAAAGAAAAGAGAATAACCCAAGTTGAGACTCTATCAGCTGTTTGGGTGGAAAATTGTTGGTGTGGTGCATAGTTTTAGGCGTTACGAAAAAAAATTCATTTCCTAATTTTCTGAAATATTTCGGATATTCTCTACATATCTATTCAAATGCGAACGTTAAACAAACGTCCGTTTATTAAAAGTTATACCTTCCTTTTTTACAACATTTCCTTTTTTACAACATTTCCTACCAAAGGTTTCGCAGGAAATATTTTCAACTAAGATCTGAAAATTTTCAAAAAAAAAATGTGGAAAACTTCATCTATGAGCACTATAGAACACTTTTCTCTTGAGTAATAGTAGAATGAGTAAACTTGAGATCCCATCAGCTGTTTTTGTAAACAAATTGTGGCGTGATGCATAGTTTTACTCGTTACGAAAACTTCAGTAATTTTTTTAAATATATCGCATATTTTTTACAAATCCTGTTAAGTTACATTGATGTCTAAAAACTAATATATCAAGAGCTCAGTTTCTATGCAATTCGCAATATTTCCTAACGTGCCATGTCCAACCAAAGGTCCCAGGGAAACATAAGTTGCTCGCAAGCTGGAAATTTTGCAAAAGGTTTTGAGAATATCCATCCCAGGCTACAATATAACTTTTTTCGTCTTAGTAATGTTTGAATAATTGAATTTGTTTGAATAAACATTTTTGAAGTGATGCCTACTTTAAGGCGTTACAATAGTATTACTTTCATACTCTTCGTAAATATACCGTACACCTTTTTGAATTGGCAGACAAGCGAAACCGCCTTATAAACAATGTTATACACTAATTTTATAAGATTTACACAAATTCCTTAGGTGTCAGGTCCAACCAACGGTCGCCGGGAAACTAGGTTTGCTTGGAAGCTGACGATTTTCCAAAGATTTTAATATCATCCATCCCTGACCACTACAGAACTTTTTTCGGCTCAAAAATGGCTGAATTATTAAACTTAAGAACCAATCAGCTGTTTCGAAAAAAAAAAATATGATGTGATGCCTACTTTAAGGCGTTCAATAATTTTACTTTCATATTCTTCGTAAATAGGCCATAAATATATTGATTTGTGAAACAAACCAAATACTCTTATACCACTCTTATGTATACTAATGATAAACACTGATATTTTAGGATTTACAAAATTACATGAGGTGTTAGATTCAGCCCAATGACCCTGCGAGCGTATGTTCAGTAGGAAGCCGAAAATTTTCAAAAAATTGTGAGAATTGTGATCCCTGACCACTGTAGAACTATTTTCGGTTCAGTAATGGCTGAATAATTGAACTTGAGAACCAATCAGCTGTTTTGGTAAAAAATACTGTCCGATGCATACTTTTAGGGGCAAAAAATACTCTTGACATACGTTTATTACAAATTTCCTTAAGCTTAACTCTTTGATATTTGCTGAATATATTTAGCCAAAAACTCGTATGTCATCGAATTCTAAAGCCAACTACCTTATCATATTTGAAAATTCCCAAGAAATGTTAAGTCCAGACCAAGGCCTCCAAGAACTTGGGTTCAATTGGGAGCTGAACATTTTCAAAAAAAAAAAAAAAAATGGTAAAACTGGTCTCTCTGGCTGTCACACTGGAATTTCCCATAAGTTTTGGGATGAATAACCAAACTTGAGACCCCATCAGCTGTTTTCGTAGGAAGAAGTTGTTGTGTGATGCATAGTTTTAGGCGTTACCGAAATTTTCCCTTCGCACATTCTATAAATATGACCCATAATTTTTTTTAAATTTTAAGACTTAACAAATTCCAATATATGAAAGGTCAGGCCCTGATTTTACATGATTTGCAACATATTCTGTAGGTTTAGGTCTAAACTTAGCTCCCTTAGAGACCAGGTTCTCTTAGAAGCTAAAAATTCACAAAAAAATTGTATGAATTGGCCTCTGTGACTGTTATAGTGGACTTGGGTATAAAATGTGCGAAAAATAGGCAATCTTGGGACCGTATGTTGCTGTTTTTATAGTATACAATTGTTGGGTGGTGCCTAGTTTTAGGCGCTGAAATTTTATTCCTCCTACACCTTTATAAAAATGATCTAAAAGCTTTCTAAAATTGATGATATAAAACCGAAAACCCTTTTCTTCAAAACTGTCCTCTAATTTTATTTAATTTGCAAAATCCCCAAAAATGTTAAGTCTAGACCAAGGCCACCAATGATCTGGATTAATTGGGAGCTGAACATTTCCAAAAAAAAGAAGAAAATTGTAAAATTTGCCTCTATGGCTGTCGTAGGGGAATTTTCTACAGGGTGTTGGATGAATTAGTAAATTGGAGACGCTATCAGCTGTTTTCTTAACAAAAAATTGTTGTGTAATGCCTAGTTTTAGGCGCTATGATAATATTTCTCCCATATAAAAAAAATTCGCTTATAAAAAAATTGATAGCAAGCTGTTGAATTTGATATAAAAAACCCGTTTGAAAGTATAATTTTCTTTAAATTGATTTACAAAATACCAGAAGGTCTAAGGCCCAGACCAAGGTCACCAAAAATCTAGGATCAATTGGGAGCTGAATACTTCAGAAAATTTGGTGAAAATTTACCTGTCTGGCTGTCACAGGGGAATTTCCAATAGGATATTTGATGAATAAGCAAACTTGAGGTCCCATCAGCTGTTTTCGTATGAAGAAGTCGCTGTGTGATGCCTAGTTTTAGGCGCTAAAATTATATTCCTCCATTACTTTCATAAAATTGATGATATAAAACCGAAGACACCTTTTGTCAAAAATTGTCCACTCTAATTTTTTCCTCTAATTTTATTTAATTTGCAAAATCCCCAGAAATGTTAAAACCAGACCAAGGCCACCAAGAATCTGGGCTTAATTGGAAGCTGAACCTTTCCCAAAAATGAAAAATGGTAAAATTGACCTCTTAGACTGTCACAAGGGATTTTCTAATAGAGTGTTGCATAATTAAGCCAACTTGAGATCC